CGCTGCGTGGGGCAGGTACCGGTGCAAAAGAACCACGGAGACTTCTTGAATTAAGCAGAAGCGTGCGATCGCTCGACGTGTCATCCGTGACGCTAAACGCACTTGCCGGCGAGATTATGTCTCCACCATCACCTTTGCTTCCTCTATGAGTGCAGTCTGGAAAAAAGTACGAAAACTGAGTGGTAAATATTCTCCTGACCGGGTCCTGTTCTGCGGGTTGCGGTGTTGAATTTTAGCAAACCACTAGATGTTGCCAATGAAAATTTGGGAATCATCTGGTCCGTATTTCTCAGGGGCTCCATCTATGCCCCTCGTTTCTTTCCTCAAAGTCTGGCAGAGAGTTAGCACTCTTGGACTTTTCTTCTCTCAAAAGAAAACAGTATAATGTGCTTTTAACTTCAGGAACTGGAGGCAACACTCTCAGCTTGCCGATCATCGGCAGCTGGGGCCCCACGATATTCATATTCGTACGCTACAAATTTACCCTAGTCAGCCCTTGCAGTCCTATTACGCCTTTTCAATCTTATTTGGTCAAGGAGTTCTTCCACAGCTGTGGAAATCTGCCTTGTTCTCACTTTCTGCAAACCGGGGACTACGGGAAAATGAAGCCTCCCCCTATCGTCCCATTGCTCTTACCAGTGCAGTTTGCAAAGGGATGGAACGCCTGTAAATAGATTTTAGTGTGGTATTTAGAGACTAAAAACAGTCTCTCCACCTCGTCAATATGGCTTTCGTAAGGGCGTTCTACCATAGACCCCCTTTCTACGCTTGGATACGTATGTTCGTAATGCCTTTGCAAATAACCACTCAGTTATTGCCATATTTTTTGACCCTTTAGAAGGCATATGACACAACTTGGAGGTATAATATTTTGGCCCAAGCCCACTCCTTAGGCCTTTGAGGCAATCTACCATCCTTCCTTAAGAACTTTTTAACTGACAGACATTTCCGTGTTTGGGTTAATAATGTGCTCCCCCCGGACTTTACCCAAACTGAAGGTGCCCCCCCAGGGATGTTTTTTGGGGACCAACATTTTTTTCCCCCTTTGCTATAAATGTTTTGGCCCCTTAGTTTTTTCCACCAATTTTTTCATCACTCTTTTTTTGATGACTTCGCTATTGCATGTGCATTTTTAAAAAAATTAAAAATAAAAAAAGAAGCGCAAAGCCAAAGGACTTACAGCGCTGGGGCAGGAAGGAAGCGAGGGTATCGGGTGGAAAAAAGGGAGTTTGGAAGATAAAGGTTACGGATAACACGGGGAAAGTGGAGGTTTAAAAGGGGTTAAAGGGCAGCAAGAGATGAGCTGGGAAAGGCTAAAGGGGAGTGCGAAAGGTTAATCCATCGGGAGTTTGTGGATTTAAATCAGTCTTTTGTCAAGAAGTCAATGAAGAGTCAGGAAAAAGGGGGTTTCCAAATCAGCAAAAAGGGAAGGGTTTTAAAGAGGAGTAGTAAAACCCAAGACGACGTTGGAGGAAATTCTGCTTGCTCGTTGATAGAAAAGGGCATTTTTAACAGAATGGGGCTAATGGGATACTGGAACTTGACACTGCCCCAAAAGAGAGAAACGGGGTTCCCTTTCCCCTTTTTGAGATCCCCATAAAGTAAGACGGTGGGGCCCAATGCAAAGGGCGGGGGGGAGAGTGGCCCAAAAACCCTCGGCACTGATGACAAGAAGAGGGCCCATTAACCTATGCTCGGTTTTAAAAATTAGAATAAGTTTGTTACCGACAAAAGTTGCCAACGTTTTTTTCCCCAACGGGTGCGAAGGTGGGAAAGTATTGCAGCAAAATAGCCCAAAAAGGGAAAACACCTCGTGGGAAAATCGGAAAGGTCATGACTGCGGGACCGCGCAGCAGTGTTCCCTGTTCATTGCCCGGGAACGTCGACATCCCCCAGGGCCCCAACCCAAAAAAAAATACTTTAGTTTGGTAGAGATACGGCGAAACCCAAATTTGGGAAATAAGAGTTTTAGGGGATGAGATTATCAAATTTTGGGTTTTTCCGGGTAAGCACTAAGGGGTCGAGCTACCCAAATGTGAAAAAACAGGCAAAAGCGATAAAAAATAAGTGCCCCAAAAATTTGGCTTTACATTTCCCGCTTTAAAAATGCTAGCTGAAAAGTAAATCCCCCCGCAGGGACGCTGTCCAAACATGCTGGAACCCGGACGCCGTCTAAAGACTTGGGCCCCATTTGTGTAAACAGGGGGTGGCATGGGGAAAGGGAGGGGGGAAAGGGGGGATCAAGAAAAAAGAGGGGGGAACCCACCGTGGGCCCAGTTGAGTTTGAGAAAGGGAGTGAAAAGAACAGACCCAAAAACCCCCTGGAATTTCCCCAGGGGGGTGGGGAAAAAAGTGGGGGATGCTAAAATAATTTTTAAAGGTGGTAAGTGAAGGGAAGACAAAGTGAATTTTAGGCGGAAGAGAAAAAAAGGGGCCCTGAAACAGGGGTGGCGGGAAGAATAAAGGGAAATTTTACTAATATCGGTGACCCTTCTATAAATGGAAGGATTTGTGTGTGTGAGAGCGTACATAGGGAGCGAAGGCAATGGGCAAACACGGCGATCAGACAAAGGGTGGAACATTCGCTTCTGTTTTAGAGGCTTCAAGGGGAAGAGCGAAAAGCACCAAGGCCAAACGTAATCCTTGGTGATGGATGAGTTTAAAGGGTAGAGAGAGTAGAGGAGAGGCCCCGGAAAAAATCTGGTCCCATAATTGTTTCGAATTTTTTAAAAAAGAGGGCTGAATTTAGGCAAAGCAGAGTTCGCGTTTAGCTCCCCAAAGGGAAAAATGAGCAAAGGTTTTAAGAAGGTTTGGCCCGGGTGTGACAAGTTGCCCTTTTGAGAGGTTAAAGGAGGTTTCCAGGAAAAGGGCCGGGCAAAGAGAAGGCCTGAAAACCTGACAAACACGTTTTGGGGTCCCGGGGGCCATAGAGGAAAAAAAGGATGGGCGGGGGAAAAACAGAGCGTCTAGTGAAAGTAATTTTGGGGATTTTGGTACTTGGGAAAATTTTTAAAACCCCTTTTGGGGGTGGCCCAAATGGAAACACGGTTTGCCCCAAGCTGGGAGAAACTGCAATAAAGAGACAGTCAAACGCCTGCCAAGCAATAGCCAATCCTCAACATAGAGTGATGACCAAATATTGGGGGAAGAAAAAGGGCCCAAAACATTTTTAGCAAGGAGAAAAAGTGTTGGGCTTAGAAAACATCCCTGAGGGACACCTTCAGGGTTGGACGAAGTCCCGGGGAAAAAAAACAAATTTTTGACTCAAAACCGGAAATGCTGTCAGTTAAAAGTTCTTAAAAGGGGTTGGGAGATTGCCTGGAGGCCCAAGGAAAGGGCCCGGGCTAAAATATTAAAACCTCCCCAAATTGTGTCAATGCCTTCTCAAAGGGCAAAAAAAAATGGAAAAAACTGGTGGGTTTTTTTGCAAAGGGATTAGAACATAGAAAAAGCGTAGTAAGGGGCTATGGTTTGAACGACCCCTTTCGAAAGCCATATTGACTAGCGGAGAGATGTTGTGTGGGCTCTAAAAAACCACCCTTTAAAAAGTCGATTTAAAGAGAAAGTTCCATCCCCTTTGTTTAAAAAGAATAAGAGCGAGGGGGCGATAGTGGGGGGCATCGTCTGTAGACCCGGTTTGCAAAAGGGGGAGAACAATGGCAGATTTCCCAAACCTGGGGAAAAGAACCCTTGTCCCCCAAAAAATTTAAAAGGGTGAAAGAGGACAAAAGGGCTGACCGAAAAATGTTGTAACATAGAATATAATGTTCGGGCCGCTCCCCGATGATGGGCAAGCTGGGGGTTTTGCCCCCCAGTTCTTAAAGTGAAAAAGGACATTATACTGTTCTTTCTGAGAGAAGAAAAGCCCCAAGGTACTAACTCTCGGGCAGACTTTGAGGAAAGAAACGAGGGGCATAGAGGGGAGCCTGGGGAAATAGGACCAGAGAGTGCAAGTTTAATGGCAACGCGAGAGGGGTTTCTACATCACACCCGCCAAGAACAGGAGCCGGGTCAGGAGAGTATTACCCCCTCAAATTTCCCCACTTTTTTCCGACCCCATAGAAGAGCAGAGGTGATGGGGGAAAAAAAGTTCACCCAAAAAGTGGTTTCTTCACGGGTGACACGGATCCCAAATTTGGCTAGCCCCCTCTTAAAGCATAAAGTATTGTTTTTTTTTGGGTCCGGTCATTTGACATACGGGCAATGAAGGGAGATACTTTGCGGGGTCGCGTACATGCCTACCAGTTTCCCTAAGGTGTTCCCTTTAGGATATTTTGCTGCAATAGCTACCCACCTTCACACCCGTTGGCAACAACGTTGGTCTACTCTGCTCGGTAACAAACTTCAATCTATTAAACCGAGTATAGGTTACTGGCCGTCTTCTTGTCACCAGTGTCGAGGTTGGGAGACTACTCTCTCCCGTCTTCGCATTGGCCATACTCGTCTTACTCATGGATATCTCATGGAGAGGCGCCCTGCTCCTCTCTGTGAGAATTGTCAGGTTCCATTATCGGTTAGCCACATTCTATTAGACTGCCCACTTTATCAGCGAGCACGCAGAATATACCTCCAATGTCGTCTTCACTCCGCTGCTCTCTCTTTACCTTCCCTTCTCGCTGATGGACCCACCTTTCATCCGGACTCTCTCATTGAATTTTTGACAATAACTGACTTACTTCACAAACTCTGATACCTTCAGCCCTTTCTACCTCAATCTCTTGCTGCCCTCTACCCCCGCACTATCCCCTGCCCCGCTGTTTTCTGCAACCTACTGATCATCCCTCCCCCCTTCTACCGCCCAATACCCTCGCTTCCTTCCCTACCCTGCAGTGCTGTATAGCCCTTGTGGCTTAGCGCTTCTTTTTTATTATAATAGTAATAATAATTTTCACTAGCATCAAGGCACCCCTTGAAAGTATTTGATTCTAAGCAAGCTGTATAAAGATGCCTTGAAATTCAAAATTTTCTTTTATTTAGAATTGTGCTTGCAAATAGCTTACCATTTTCAGGTCTTCAGAGCATCCCAAAGCCTTGTGAGTATTTAATAGCTTTATAGAGACGGTCCTTCAGCTTCTCCTTACTAGAATACTCTGGCAGGAGGAGGACATTAAAGCATGTGTGTGCAGTTGGTAACCTGTTTGGAGGCAATGAAGAATAATCAGTACTCTTATACTCATCTATTAATCTATTTCTCAAGGTTGTGTCACTGAAACACTTAAAAATAACCAATAAAATAGCCAATATATTTTTTCCTGTAATATATTCAATTAGTTCATTTCAAAGCATTATTACTCCATTATAATTATTAAAATGGGAAAGAGCTAATATTAATCCAGTTACTATCATAATTCTGCACAATATTATTAAAAGTTCCATAAATGCACATCTCTTATACTTCAATAGCTTAAAAATAATAAATGTATATAAATTCACCATTATCACTATCAGATAGCATTCAGATCATGAAAGTTCCCTAGCAATATTTAGATCTTAGAACTTTCCAAATAACATTCAGATCTTTAAACTTTCCAGATAACTTTTAATTCCTTTAATTTTTTTTATCAAACTATTTCCCAAGGTAGGGTAAACCCCCCCTTCCCCCCAAAAAGGAAACACTCACCATCATTTATTCAATAACACAGACATCACATTTCAAATAACCCCCTAAACTGCAACATCCCCCACCCTTTCTTAAGAGTGTATGTACTGTACTTACCACCTCCAGGACTCTCGGCCATCTAACCAGTTTTCCCTGAATTTTTTTTTAATAAAGGTCACCTTGCTCATACTCCAACAGCTCATCAAATACTAAAAACCAACTTATCTCAGCTCACTTTAACATGCTCATACATGCCTGCTGGATGCTGAAGCCCCTTCCACTGAATACCTCCTTCCAACCCTTCCTGGGACAACCCCTACCCTTCCTCCATTACATTAATTTTATTCCCAAATGAACTGGAAGTAATAGCTACACCACAAAAGGTTTTAAGCAAATTTAAATCTTTAAAATAAGAATTGTCATATTCAGCACTGAACATGAACGGGTCATACAGCACCTCAGAAATTGCACTCAATTAGGTTTGATCCATAGAAGGGAAGGGTAGCTCCAATTCTTTATATCAAGAGCCTTTCACTAGCATCAAGTCATTCCCCCTTGAAAGGTATGACTGGAAAAACCAATATACATGAACCCACAGATAAACAGCATGACCAGGAAAAATTTGAAACTTCAACTTAAGAGTACAGTATCTGGTCATAACCATTATTTGTGCTCCTAATATTCTTTTTTGCTCTGATATTCCATATCTGTATGTGTATGAGAGACAGATATAATTTCTGTAATACACCTTCATAACTCAACCATTCAACATATTTGATTTAAATAATGAATTAATTTAATTCTTTCAACAAATCGGCCATATCCCACAAAGGCAGGGTGACCCAAAAGGAATAATGAAAGTTTCTTCTTTTAAATTTAGTAATATATACAGAAGGGGTTACTAGCCGTTGCTTCCGGCATTTTAGTTGCCTCTTACGACATGCTTGGCTTACAGAGGAAGAATTCTGCTCCACCTCCCCCATGGAGATAATGAATTAATCTATCTATAAAATTAAATTGGATGACCAGGAAGGATCATTCCAGAAAAGGTTGGAGGCAGGGAGTAAGGGAGATTTTAAGTACGTAAGAGGGGCCAGGATAGGAGAGAGGAGGCAAGAGGTTTTCATGATCTGACATGCTGCTGGAGTGTGAGCAAAGTAACATTATGAAAAGATTCAGGGAAACTGGTTTATCGGACAAGAGTCCTACTGGAGGAGGAAGTATGGTGCCTGCACTCTGAAAGAAGGAAGGGGGGGTTGCATGTCAGAGGGTCATATGAGCCATGACATGATGCATTTGGCACAAGTGAATGACAGTGAGTGTTTCTTCCTTTCTGGGTCACCTTACCTCAGTGGAAGATAGCCAGTGTGATTAAAAAAAATACATTGGATTTTCCAGTAACATACCTGTGACCAGTTTTGGTTGTTCTTCTACCCTTGTACCTTGGCTGGAGGCCAGATTATCCCACACATTCCATTTCTTTTCTTTCTCATGGGCAGCACTACCATCAGAAAGTATTCATACATATAAAGGAATGATAAAGATATATAGTTACCCTTACCTGTCACAGTCTGGGCCATGTCTTGCTATTATCAGTTTGAGTCTTGCCAGACCACCTACAGGGACTCTTGCTGATCCTGTGGTGAACTGAAGTAAACGTTTCTTGTCTTCAGTACTCATATCATGTACAAGCTCCCAGAATGCTTGTACAATTGCTGTTTCGCTAGTGTAGCCCCCATCGTACTCAGCAGACTTCATTAATTCCAAGAAATCATAATGCTGAAAGAGCAAATATTTTGTTTTAAGCATACAGTATATGAGGACGAATCTTCAACATCATCCTGTTTTCCCACTTTGATGGGGTGGTAAGGAATTTGTATAGTCATTCTGCACTTCTGACAGTAAACAGCTATGTTCAACCATACACAATCACTTGCGGGTCAAAACTACAAAACAAAACAATTTAAACCAGGGGTGAAAAGTACCCTGACCTGATAAAAAAAGTATTTTGGGAAAAAGTAGTAAAACTATCTAGTGACACTGGCATTTTTTACAAACCACTTCCACACTCGGATTGTAGTGGACAAGTAGTACTCCCACTAGAAAAACATCCACAGTAGTATCTAAATCAATTTTACATATTAGAAGTTTAGTACAACACAAGAACTGCTAAAAAAAATTATTCTTCTACAAATTTCTTTCAGGTTTAGCACTTTTTTTTGTTATAATAATAATAATAATCTTTCACTTTTCATGCATTGCTCATGTGTATAAATGATTTTTCACATGCTCATTCACATCTCTAATCCTCTCAGCTTTCCTCACCTCTTTCTACTATCGTGTTCACTCAAATATATTTTATACATCACCTATTTTCTCAAAAGTATTATTCAGAGGGCTGAGGATGATTTGAAGGGCGCATAATTCTCTAGTAAAGGTTTTGTATGCGAAGAGGCTTGGACATCCAACAAGTGTGTATGAATGTGTTAGATAATTTGATGTGCTGTTGGAGTTTAAGCAACATAACATTCATGAAGGGAATCAGGGAAACTGGTTAGCTGGATTTGAGTCCTGGAAGTGGGAAGTACAGTGCCTGCACTCTGAAGAAAGGGCAGGAATAAGAGCATAAGAAAGAACATTGCAACAGGCCTACTGGCCTATGTGAGGCAGGTCCAATTCTCCCACTGGCTTAAGCTCACTGACCGTTTGGAAGGGAATTTGAACTGTAGTATCAATGTACCTCTAGCAAGACAGGGATAGAGTGATGGTGAAAGTGTTTCCTCTTTTTCAGGTCCCCTACCTTGTTGGGGGATGGCTGGTGTACATAAAAAGAAATTCTCAACAAGGTTAGATAAATAATAGCACAAACTACTCAATTTTAGTGATGAATGGGTGACAATTTAACGTTAGCAAGTGTTCTTTCTTTTTTGGGTCATCCTGCTTCAGTGGGAGACGACCAGCGTGTTGAAGAAAAAAAAAAAAAGTCAATGAAACTAAAACCAGACTTGATGATGAATATATTATAATTATTAAAATCAAAACTAAGCATTAAACCCACAAGGGTCACACATTCTGGAGAATACAAATAACCAGACTTGATAATTTGTTGTTTATAATTATACTCTGGGAGTAATTATGAACAACAAATTATCAACACTCACATACATGTGGTACAAACAAACTTGTGTGTTATACATAATGACAAACTTTAAAACGTGCAAATACACAGATTGTGACTGGCTAAACATGCTTACGTATTTGTAAAACAATGCATGAAATAACTAAGTGAGAAATCAGTCTTATGATTAAAGATTTCTGCTAGCTATCTATAGTGACAGTAATTAACAAGAGTATTGAAACATTACTATACAGCTAAACTCAAAAGCATCAATTCCTATCTTTACACAACTCCAATTCCATGCTAACACCCCTTTTATCTAAATACTCTGCCTAAATTCATAACTTCTAACTAAAAAAAATTAAAATATGCATAAAGGCTACAATAGCTTAATTAAGAGAACAGAGAAGAGGATATATTAATAAGTAATAGGTCAGAGCACAAAATTAAAGTACTGTACCTGAGAACCACACACGAGGAGTTCCAGTTCTTCAGGCCTAAAGAGATTTGCTAAAGGTGAATCATCAGTGACCATGTTAAAACCTCTTCGAAATGCACGAAACTGTCGTTCAACCATTTTGTTTAATAGGAAATCTGCATATAATTCTACAAATTCCTGAAAAAAATCAAGAGAAATTAGAATAACTCAACAGAAGACATATTGATCATATTTAGTTAATTCACTCCTAACCACAGCATATCTGGTTGCCCACAATAACACACTTTATTAAAACTTCACGAATAGGGGAACTTGTATACTCTTAGCAGTCACACAGTGCTTTGAAAATTGAGGTAATAAAGTTTGCTCCTAAGGAATGGGAAGGTACTTCTATTTCCTTGATCAAAAGCCCTTCACCAGTATCAAGGCATATTCTCTGGAAGCCTCTGTTTATTGACACCTGGAAAAATCCCTTATGGTCATTCCTTAATGTAAGGTTAAGATAATCAAGGGCACTACAGCCTAAAACACACTTTCCTTGCAGACGTATTGTAAAGCTGCTCTAAGAATTTAGACTCTTAAAGTAATAAAACAGCTTTGACTTTTGATGAAAATTAATCATATTTTACATGTTAAGGTTTAGCGCTTCTATTTGATTATAATAATAATACTATAATAATAATAATAATAATAATAATTTACATGTTAAGGAATTCGACTCAGGATCCTCTCTATATACAATGGACCCCCTGCGAATTTGCAGTTCTGAATTCAGGGATTTTTCCTTAGAGCCTAACTAATAATTGTTGGCAGAATTTTTTTTTTTTCCTGTGACAATATATATTTTTTTTATGTGTTTTAACGCTAAATATTAACAAAAATATAATTTAATAATTTCATAACATAAATATTAACGTAAATTCAGCAAAATTTCCATATAAAATATAATACTGAATAAATTTTTTACCAAATGTATACCAAAGAAAATAGGGTTGCATGAATTATACAGTACACCAAAGAAAACAGGCTTGCATGAATTACAGTATATATCGGGGTAACATCAGTACAGTGGACCCCCGCATAACGATTACCTCCGAATGCGACCAATTATGTAAGTGTATTTATGTAAGTGCGTTTGTAGGTGTATGTTTAGGGGTCTGAAATGGACAAATCTACTTCACAATATTTCTTATGGGAACAAATTCGGTCAGTACTGGCACCTGAACATACTTCTGGAGTGAAAAAATATCGTTAACCGGGGGTCCACTGTATTTTACATTCTAGCACTGCAGGAAACATTGCAGTACAGTACTGTATACAGGTTTATCTTTACATTTTTTTTTTTTAAAGGGTGATGTATGAAGCTGAGTTTGAAATTAAATTAAAGTGTTTTGAGGGCATTTATAGGGTTTAAAGTATGAAAATAGGCATTTATAGGCATTTTTTTTTTAACCACGTCCAGAATTCACGGGTGGTCTTGGAAAGCAACCCCCATGAATTTGGGGGAGACTACTTTATATATATAGCATATACAGTGGTACCTTGACTTACAAGTGCCCCAACATAAGAGAGGAGGAACACTGCAGCAGGCCTGTTGACCCATACTAGGCAGGTCCTTTACAATCCATCCCACTAACAAAATATTTGCCCAACCCAATTTTCAATGCCACCCAAGAAATAAGCTTTGATAACTCAATCCACTCATATGCAAGTCCCACTCAAATCCAACCCCTCTCACTCATATATTTCTCCAACCTAAATTGGAAACTACCCAAGGTTTTAGCCTCAATAACCCAACTAGGCAGACTGTTCCACTCATCAACTACCCTATTTCCAAACCAATACTTTCCTAGATACTTTCTAAATCTAAACTTGTCTAATTTGAATCCATTACTGCGGGTTCTCTCTTGGAGAGATATCCAACTTATGAGTTTTCTGAGTTACGAGCTGTCATTTGGTTGATTTTTTACTTTGGGTTGTGAGCCAAAATCCGAGTCACGAGTGAAAAAAAAAAATATTTACTGATAATGACATTTGGCAAGAACCCCGGCCTAAATGGCACAACGAAAGGTACTTTTGGAACTTGGTACTTATAAAACAATGCTAGTGCGATGTTCTCACTGGAGGTAATCGTGTAATTATATTTAGTTATTCTACAAAAAAATAAAGTTGATAAGTTTTTGACATCTGCAAAATATCTTGCCCTTTACTCCCACACAAATCCCAAAATATTTGGAATATTTCCAATATTCCACAAGCTAACTGTAGAGCAATAATTTTTTATGATTCCTGTCATTCAATATTATTGCATTTACTTCAATAATAAATGGTGGGCTTCATGAAATAAGTCAATTACTTACTTCTGAGATATTCATATATCACTGCACTAATGATCTAGTGCAGTCAGCCTCTCAAAAACTCCATTTTCTATTACCCAGAACCAAAGAACACATTTCAGGAAGGAGCAGTAATAATTCTGTATGCTTGGACTGGTCCTGGACGCTCACCATATTATGGCATATATTATACATTCTAGAGTATACATCATGTTTCTATGTTACTTAGTGTTTATTACCTGGAGTTTACCTGGAGAGAGTTCCGGGGGTCAACGCCCCCATGGATTTGATATTAGTGTTATACTGAAGTATTTTCTCCTGCCCCTAGGGTGGTTTTTTGGGGGGCTGTAACAGATTAATGGCATTTCAATTAATTTCATTGAGGAAAATTGATTTGATATATGAGCAAATTAAGTTACAAGCTCAGTCATGGAATGAATTAAACTCATAAGTCAAGGTACCACTGTATATGCCAATGCTGCTCACTCCCACTCTTCCACTTGTGTACACACACTGCATTAAAATGCCTTAGCCAAGACTTTATATTACCCTACTAAAGAACAAAAAGGCACAATACACAAATAACCTGCACACAGGAGAAGCCTATGACAATGTTTCAGCTCGACTTGAACCACTTACAAAGCCTCACTAACACAAGAAGAAGCCAGTACACATAGTCGAGGGGAACAAAGACAGGTCCCGTCCTTGTCTCCCTCGCCTATATATATATACTGGCTCCCTCACTCTTTTGTTTTAGTGACTTTGTAAATGGTCCAAATTAGACTGAAATATTGTCATAAGCTTCTCTCTCCCATGTGCAGGTTTTGTGTATATTACCCCACTGCTTGTATTACTACATTTGGGGGATGCAATAAACCCGTAAGAATCATTCAGTGCCTGGGTAATGGGAGGCAACCAGTTATGATCTAAGGAAAGGGAGGACAAATCCAATTTCTTGAATCAAGAGTCCCTCAGCGGAATGAAGGAACCTCCTTTAACCCGTAAACAGTCCAAGCAGATCTACATTCACATGTGTAGTGCTCCAAAAGTAGATCTACGTTTTTTTTTTTACATATTTTCAAATATAACAAAAAAAAAAAAAGTAGGTCAAAGTTTTTTCTTACACATTTTCAAATGCAAAAAAAAAAAAGAAGATCTACTTTTTTTTACATACTTTCAAATGTTGAAAAAACGTATATATACGTTTGGACCGTTTACGGGTTAAGGGGTGCCCCACTGCTATCCTAACTTTTTTTCCTATAATCAAGAATCCAACCCCATAATTCTGCCTTCACCTCACTCCTACCTCAGCAAGGGCAGTTTGTAGCTCATCTTTTCCTTATTTAATTAAATGTTCAATGTGCCCTCCTTCTTCAGTGACCACACCTGCTCTAAGCTAATGAAAATAATGTACTGTATACTATATATATACACTATATCCTCTATAATCTTTTCAACATTTCTGTCTATCTGTTATTACAAAAGAAGAACTAAAAATAGATAAAATCAAAAAAATTTTTTGACTTATCATTTCTCTATAACTTCTTGAGTGTTCCTGTCTTACATTTAATACTGTTTCATCAATCCTATACAACCTAACTATTTTCACCATTTCTTAAATCAATTACCATTTTTATTCCAAAGTTAAAGGAATAAAAAGTCATATATGCATCATGTGCAAACACATCTTTTAAATCTCTCAACTTGGAACATACATGTTTGGAACTTTGGCTAACAAGGATGTTATCTCCATCTGTCTTGAGGTCGTGTGTAAGGCTAGTACCAAATACATCTTGGTAACCAACACGAAAAGTCTGCATGAAAACATCTTCCATGTCATCTCCCTCGTATTCCAGAAGTTCAACAAGGCTTCGATACAGTGTCTGAAATTAGAAATACGTATCATAAAAACTACTATGTCTGTTCTGATATTAAAAACATTTACTATATAACTGCAATTCTGTTAGAACAACAGTACAAATAACAAAGAAATATTCAGCTTGCTACTCCATGATCCATTTAAAACAAAAATTATACATTACAGTATTTCCACAGAAATGTTCAATGTCCTTCAAATACATCAAAATAACCCGAGTATTTTAGAGGAATCACATGGAAAAAACACACACAACAGAACAATGATTCTGCCATTTTACTTCCAACTATTTTTGAATACATAATACATACAAAGAGAGCAATATTAAAACTAAACAATTAAACGTGTGACTGCTATAAATGACTGGAAAAACTAAAGCATGACTGAAGAAGATCAGAGTAGATTCAGAAGGAAAAGTGGATGTGGTGATAAAGTGTGAGGTAAATTTTTACAAACTTCTACTCACTCTCGGTAATAAACCCATTTTTACTTGTACACTTCTATTTACTTGTTTCAATATTTTTTATTCCCGTAATGTAAGTACTTTTTTTTGAGATCTCTAACCTACATTATTTGTTCCACCTTAAAGGCTTCCATTAACACTGTACAGGTCTCCCTCCACATTCACGAGTTACACTTTCACGGGCTTTGAACATTTGCGAATGCCCAGCTGCCCAATCATATTTAAAATATGTCATTACATGTTAGGAATTGTGGCTGTGGCAGAGTTTTTTTTGGAGATAAGACAAGATAGTTCTTCAATATGATACAAATATCAACTCTACAGCTTATTTATCTATCACAATTCATCTAATATGACATAATAAACAATATTAATAATATAAAAACATGACACATACTCTAGAATGAATAAAATATTTCATTAAATATGTCACGAGTGTTGTTGTTGTTGTTGCGTGTATAAGGACCACTGAGAGCATAAGCCTTACATAGTGGTGGAGGCGGCAGTAGAGACGGCAGTGTTGTCAGTCGCCCTATATATAGCTCCAATAACATTGGAGGAGTTAGGCTCATGCTGTCCTTTTTCTATCGATTAATCACTTAACTTACTTGCTACACTGTTAATGCTACACTTTATCACTGGCTGGCACAATAGCCTTTATCAACTAGTGCTGCACTTTGGAACTCTGCTACGAGTTCTTTCTTGAATTCTATAGTCTTTCTCACCTTCTTTATCAAAGGGCTGGAACTAGTACAATATTTTATGATGTTTTCATGTGTTTTATGATTGTTCATGGTTCAATAGGTTAAGGAAGCAGTATTGTTAGGCTAAGTAAATGCTATTATTATATTTCCCTACAATATATTTGTGCACCAAACATTCACAATTCTTCAATATTCACGAGGTTCTTGATCCCCTAACCCTCGCAAATGTGGAGGGAGACCTGTATGAGCACAATTGTCAGTTGTTTTATTTCCTTGAATACCTTTCAACACAACTCCATCTACAGGAACCAAATTTATCAGAAGAGGTTACCTTTAACCCTTTCAAGGTCCAGAGACCAAATTTCAAAGTGTGTACCAGTGTCCAAGAATTTTCAACAAATATTTTTGTTATTTTTTCTTATGAAATGGTAGAGAATATTTTTCTGAAGGTAATAAAACAAAAAGTAAGAAATCTGATGGAAAATTGACAAAATTATGCTCTCGCGAATTTAGATGTGTCAGCGATATTTACGCATCAGCGATTTTGCCGACTTTGACCAGTCAACCAAATTCTTAGCTATTTCACTAGTATTACTTCTATTCTATCGACTGAGCACAAGAAATCGCCAAGTCATCTGTTTCAACTACAAAATAAAGTGATCGGAAATTGGTAATTTGGCCAATTTAATGCAAGGTTCAAAATATTCCAATTTCAAAATAGAGTCCAGAATAAACAATGCAGGCATTCCTGGCACTAAACTAACATTTCCTCTGTTCATTGGTTATGTTTTGAGGCTTTACAAATGAATTCCATCTTGATTTTTTATTCACATAATGAATTTTTATTCATACCAAAAAATTGATTTACTGTTATGCAATATTGTAATAATTGTATAAATAACATCACCACATTTGTGAACATATATAAGACCCACCAGCTGGTGTGTATTAGACGTGTGAGGTCATTTGTTTACTTTTGAACACCAGCAAAAATTTAACATTTCCACTACTTTGAGCTCAGTTTCATGCTATTTTCAGTACTAAAACCAATCAAAATCATCTCTATTTCTGTAATGTATCTTCCATTCTATCAAATGAGACCAAGAAATCGCAAATACAACTATAAAAAACATACAAAAAACACTGCAAAGTCGTCGTTTTAATCGAAAATTACGGTCTCAGTTTTTTTTCTCTCATTATGCACTGTGTGCTGCAGGATTTGTTTTATGTGGTGCACACATACCACATAGATGTATTCTCTCATATCTAGGCCCAAATTTACCACTCACAGCTTTTCAGAGTGAGCTGAGCTCATGGCGTAGATCTACGGTTTGGACCCTCAACGTAAAGCAGTAGATCTACAGCAAGGACCCTGAAAGGGTTAGTACTCAATAAAGGAAGGAATTTTAGTGCACAGTCAAATAATGATTAAAACAAACACAATAAGTGATAATATAAATAGCTTACAGGATTCCAGTCTCGAAGACAATGAAATGAACCCGGCTTACTGCAGAGCTTCTTGTACATTACTGGTGGGAAATGTACATCAAGAATCACATTGTTATAGATGGCAAGTCCTAGCACAATGCCGACTAGAGTGAACTGCGCATCACTTTCAAAGCAGTTTGGATTGAACCAGAAGGTCTGAGTTTCATTATTGAGACAAAACATAGCTGCAACATATAAGGAATATATTAAACTTTTCTTTACATTATAAAAAATGTTATAATTTATAATACATTCAAATACTAATAAATGAACACCAAATGTTAAAAGAAATATTTAAGATATTATTTCACCTTACAATTAAGGGTACACAGATGACCCACACATAGGAGAAAGAAACTTATGACGACATTTCGGTCCAACTTGTTTAAATAGTCACACAATGGTCCAAGTCAGACCAAAACATCATTATAAATTTTTTCTCCTATCTGCGTGTTATTTGTGTATTGTTCCAGTCACAGTATTGTGCCTTTTTGTTCCCTAATTAAGAGTAATGGTGCTGGAATTTATACCTACCATAGTCAGGGTTAAATATCTGCTCCACAATGAGCTGGAAGAACTCCTTGCTGACACCACCTTCATCAATTCCTTGCTCCCCCTCAAACTCTACCACCATCTGCTTCTTAAGATCGCCAGGATTTTCTAGTGCTACCATCTCCAGCTATTCACAAATGCAAAAAATTGTCATTTAGTTTTCATGTTTGTATGAAAAAGACTTATGTCTCCAGTGTTCTCAAATTCAGAGTGAAGTTAGACCATCTAAATAATTCAGTACAATTCATTACATTGGATGTCAATACTTAATAAATGTCCTCAAACATATCGTTGTTCACATTAAAAAAAAAAAAAAAAAAAAATTTAAATTGATTCCACTCAGTCAATATCCATTGATAAAATAACAGCTGTCATAATTTTCACCATTTCATGAACAATGCAATTTTGTATTAAATAGGAATACTTGAAAGCTAAAATTTGATGTTGCAACTTATATCAAGGAAAAGGTGTAAATGGAGATTATAAAGGCCCCAACTAGCTAGTTAACCCTTTGACTGTTTTCGACGTATAAATACGTCTTACGAGCCAATGTTTCTGACGTATACATACTCAATAATTCTAGCAGCTTCAAATCAAGTGGGAGAAAGCTGGTAGGCCCACATGTGAGAGAATGGGTCTGTGTGGTCAGTGTGCACCACATAAAAAAAATCCTGCAGCACACATTGCGTAATGAGAAAAAAAAACTCTGATCGTTTTTTTGGAATAAAACGCCGACTTTGAGGTGTATTTTCGTATAGTATTTATCGTTGTATTCGCGTTTTCATGGTCTTAGGTGATAAAATGGAAAACATATTACAGAAATAGAGATGATTTTCATTACTTTGATGATGAAAACGACCTTGAAACTGAGCTCAAAGTAGCGGAAATGTTCGATTTTTACCAATGTTCAGGAGTAAATAAATCGCACCACACATCCAATACACGTCAACTGGGGAGTCTAATATTCTTTCACTAGTGCACTGATATTATTTATACCATTTTTACAATAATGCAGTAGTCTGCATAACAGTAAATTTTGTATTTTTTTGTATGAATAAAAAATCAAAATAGAAAGCAATAATAATATAAGAGGGGCCTAGAGATGTGACTAATGAACAGAGCATATGTTATTTTAGTGCCACGAATGTCTACCTTGTTTATTCTGGACCCTATTTTGAAATTGGCATCTTTTTTAATTTGTGTGAAATTGGCCAAATTGCCAATTTCTGACCACCATATTGGGTAGTCCAAATTAGTAAATGGGAGGTTTCTTGTACTCAGCTGATAGATAAAATGGAGTTCTAAAGAAATAGCTATGAGTTTGGTCAACTGGAACAATGGAATTGGCTGAAAATTGGGCTCAAAGTCAGTGAAATCGCCGATACGCATATGTCGCCGAGACCGCTAACTTCGCGGGAGCATAATTCCATGAGTTTTCAACCAAATTTCGAACTTTTGGTGTCATTACCATCGGGAAAAGATTCTCTATCATTTCATAAGAAAAAATAATTTTTTTTTCAAAAACTGAGCGACATAGAATGACAGTTTCAGAAAGGGGCCTGAAACAGTCAAAGGGTTAAGGGAACATATGAGGCTCACTGTGCACAGGTATCTGTAACAGTACCAAACATTGCAGTAATTCTGCATAAATGGCATACAACTTACATTTCAAGATAATTATAACTATTTGCAAGAACATGTTCTATATATAAGAACTAACCTTTTGCCAAAATGATATTCACAGTAAGCCATCAAGCATACAGCAAATAGAGCCAAAATCTCTCAAACTTTTTACCTACAACACCAGAAGTATGTCCAGCTCCTTTGTATTAGTAATTATGTGCCTTCTTGGGGACCAAAGAGGGGCTACAACTTACAAATACTGTAGAACCACTTTCATGTAACATTATGTAAACCGTAAGACCAGTAGTCAACCATGTAGCATTTGTGGGACATCAATACAACATGTTAAGAAACACTTTATCTTATAATGTGGTACTGTAACAGTATATCACTGGACCATCAAGGATAGCACAATGTACATCTCAGTAACTAATACAATTTCTGCTACTGTTTCCTTATATGTATTCCTAATTAACAATCTAGGGAATCACAATAACTTTAGCACCTTTCAACTTTATGTTAGTGAGGGCCAGCTAGTTATTGGTCAGACCATGGAAAGGTTCACAAAGATCCCGTGGGAACCCCACTCAGCACGACATGGACCATAAAGGCAAGAAACTAAAACAGATCCCCATTATGTACATACTTTACTCATGGTGTAATATGGCAGTATAAGCAACTGTGAATTGCTCCTTGAATCAAGGCTAAGACTAATCTCCAAGTACTGGCACTGGTTTAGCTAAAAGTATGTATGTATGTACAGCAGGGCCCCACTTTACAGTGTTTCACGTTATGCAGTTCTGCTAATACGGACATTTCAAATTATGACCAAAACTCACTACAGTGGACCCCCGGTATTCGATATTAATCCGTTCCTGAGACCTCATCGAATACCGATAATATCGAAAACTGAATCAATTTTCTTCATAAGAAATAATGAAAATCAAATTAATCCGTGCAAGACACCCAAAAGTATGAAAAAAAAAATTTTACTACATGAAATATTAAGTTTAATGCAATAGAATAATTACAATGACAATAAAATAATTGATACTTACCTTTAATGAAGATCTGGTGATGATTGATGGGATGGAAGGAGGGGAGAGGTGTTAGTGTTTAGAAGGGGAATCCCCTTCCATTAGGACTTGAGGTAGCAAGTCCTTTTCCAGGGTTACTTCCTTTCTTCTTTTAATGCCACTAGGACCAGCTTGAGAGTCACTGGACCTCTGTCGCACAACAAATCTGTCCATAGAGCTCTGTACCTCCCGTTCCTTTACGATTTGTCTAAAATGGGCCACAACATTGTCATTGTAATAGCTGTGTTAGGGTGATTTTCATCCATAAAGGTTTGCACTTCAACCCACTGTGCACACATTTCCTTAATTTTTGAAGTAGGCACAATGTATTCCACAACTGGTATAGGCTTCTTAGGGTTAGCCCCAAACCCTTCAAAATCTTTCTTAATTTTCATACTAATTCTCACCCGTTTTACCACAGGGTTGGCACTAGAAGCTTTCTTTGGGCCCATGGTGACTTATTTTGCAGAAACAAGCACCAAACACAGTGATAATATGGATAATATGGAATGTACCGAATGTATCCTTAGATGCGCGCACACTGGCTGGCTTGTAAACACTGGCACACAAGAGGCAGTTCAGGCCACATGTGGACAGGTCTCGTAACAATCGTATCGAATACCGGGTTTTCAACTGAATACCGAGGAAATTTTTTGCAATATAATGCATCGAATACCGGATTTATCAAATACCGATGCAATCGAATACCGGGGGTCCACTGTATATGGCTCCCCCTGTCTTTCTACTACGGTCACCATGCCCCACCCTATTTGTTTACATTCTCCGTAAGCATATCTCCATTATGTCTGGGAACTTGCCAAAATTTCAAGGGTTTTAAAGTTACTGCATATTTTATATGTATGTACTCTGATAATTATAGTTATGTGTACCTGTACCTAAACAAACTTACACACTGTGCTGGCATGCAGGTACACATTAAAATCACAAAGTGTCCCTCTAGTCTTAACGCCAAAGTAATAATACTAATACGTAATAATAATCACTCGGGCACATTAACCCTTTCAGGGTCCACAGGCCCTCTCCGAGACTTGTTCTCAGGGTCCCCCAAATTTCAAAAAAAAAAAAAAAAAAAAAAAAAAAAAAAAAAAAAAAAAAAATTCTTATGAAAAGATAGAGATTCTTTTCCCGATCATGATGACACCAAAAGTATGAAATTTGATGGAAAACTTACGGAATTATGCTCTCTTGCAAAGTTATCAGTCTCAACGATGTTAACGCATCGGTGATTTTGCCCACTTTGAGCCCTATTTTCGGCCAATTCCACTGTATTAGTCGACAAAAATCATAACTATTTCACTAGAACTCCATTTTTTCTATCGAATGAGTACAAGAAACCACCCATTTACCAATTTCAACTAATACAGTGGTCAGAATTTAGCAATTTTGCCAATCTCACACAAATTTCAAAAGATGCCAATTTCTGAATAGGGTCCAGAATAAACAAGAAAGACATTCCTGGCACTAAAATAACATTTCCTCTGTTCATTAGTCACGTCCCCATGCCCCTCTTACATTCTTTTGCTTTTCACTTTGAATTTTTATTCTCAAAAAATAGAAGATTTACTGTTATGCAGACTACTGCATTAGTGTAGAAATGGTATAAATAATATCAGCGCACTTGTGAAAGAATATTAGACTCACCAGTTGACGTGTATTGGACGCATAGTATGATTTGTTTACTTTTGAACTTTGGTAAAAATCGAACATTTCTGCTACTTTGAGCTTAATTTCAAGGTACTTTTCCTTGTAAAACCAGTCAAAATCATCTCAATTTCTGTAATATGTCTTCCATTTTATAAAATGAGACCAGGAAAACTAAATACCATACAAAAATACAGTGCAAAGTCGCTGTTTTAATCCAAAAACACGGTCAAAGTTTTTTTTTTCTCATTACGCACTGTGTGCTGCAGGATTTTTTTTATACTGCACCCACTGACCACATAGATCCATTCTTTCATATGTAGGCCTACCAGCTTTCTCTCACCAGATTTGAGGGCGCTAGAATTTAGGAGTACTAGTACGTCATGGACAATGGTGCGTAAGTCGTACTAGTACGGCCGAAACCCTGAAAGGGTTAAATGTCTTATTTTACATTAATATAGACATTTTCATTTATCCATCTATGATATTTTCTTCAAAATTATATAAGAAACATGCTACATAGCATATAAACATGATACATACACCCACAGTACAATAAATTTCACATAAATATGAGGTGTGGTAGCCGGGCGGAGGAAAAACATTGTTTTCTCTGGTCCAACACCAGAGAAAACGTGTATGAATCTGCGTTTGGCCCAGTCACTCCCCTCAACGCATTCTGCTTTGTTTACAATTCTCGGCATGAATTCTTTTCATTACTTCTCCCTTTGTTTATGATGGCATCTTAGGATAGTTGTTAGAAATT